GCTTAAAGACTTCAATAGCAGGGACATTCATCATGTGCAAAGCAGTACAATTGAAAGCGTCTGAGCCTCTTCCTTGGTGTCCTCTGCTTAGTTTGCAATCACTGTTTGCTCTCTCTAGGGAACATTCAGCAGCCCAAGCAATCTGAAGAAGACATTTAAGGTATGTGCGCTTCTGGCTGGTGTGGCAGCACCAGCTGAAAATGTAGGCAGCCAAACTGTGTTTAGCAAGGGGACGGGCTTGGAGCTTGAGGGTGTCTGTGCTGGGGCAATGTAGGGAACACTGCATTCTTCTTGACTAGAGCCATTTCAGTAGCTCAGAAAGGTACACTGAAAACAGGGGCCAACTAGCTGCAACATCACCTGTAAATCCCCACCTCCGGCTCAGTGGCCATGACCTCAGGCAGTATCTCACCTCCTTGCCTGGCTGTTGTGAGTTTTGACAAGATAGAGGCAGATACCATTCTCCTCGGTACCACACAGTCCTGCTAAGCTGTGCTAGTGCTCTGAGTGCAGCTCTCTGCCTTGCAGATTCCTGATAAGCAGTATGTGCTGACTGCCCTGGCTGCCCGTGCCAAGCTACGAGCCTGGGAGGATGTGGATGCACTCTTAACTACCAAGGTGAGATGGGGAAAGCCTTACTGGGGACTCAGTTCTAAGTACTGATATCTACTAATAGCTGGCTTGTTCTGGGTTACCGAACAGACTCGTTTATTTCAGCAGGACCCAGCATTTCTGGTACAGGGTGTTACATGTTCCTCTTTTCCCTGAGCTCTGCTGGGCCTGAATTGGCTGCAGCTACTGAGCCGGGGAAGGGGGCTGCTCTCATGCACTGTTACCAGTTGGTTTGCAGCCAGCTTTAGCTTAGGCACTGAATAAAGGGCTCTGCCAGTAGTACATATGGTGGCTGGCACGAGGAGAGATGTTATTTCCTTCACTGGGGAAAAACTGTTCCTGCTTTCAGATTCAATCTGTGGCAGCCATGTTCTTTGACTTCAGCCTCCTCTGGCAATGGCTGGAAAGATTGACCTTTAGGATTAACACAGGGTTTGGCTGTCATTTCAGAACTGGCTGGGCTACACCAAGAAGAAGGCACCTATTGGCTTCCACCGGGTGGTAGAGATCTTGCAGAGGAACAATGCACCTGTCCAGGTGAACAAAGAGCTGCTGCTTGTGTGCTCCTTCTCTTCATTGAGGTTTGGACCATGACCGATTCCCCAGGTCACCTGCCTGCAGAGCACGCTTTCCACAGTGTATTTCCAGCTGCTTTTGCTGCATTAAATTTCCTTACGTTTCATCTATCAGGATGCTAAACTGATCCATAGGGATGAGACAGTGCAGGGCTTGGGACTTCCTGAGGATGGCCTTAATTTTTGGGGGGTTCTTAGCAGACTTGTCCTGGCCACTTGTTGCCCTAGGATGGAAAGGGCCAAGTCTGTGTAACCAGTGCCTTTGAAAGATTTTGCGATGGGTGTGAAAGAATGAGGCAGGAAATACCTGCAAAAGGGAACTGTCTTCTTTCCCTTGCAGGTGCTGCAGGAATATGTGCGCTTAGTAGAGGATGTGGAAACACGGTTGAACCTTGCCACCAAATACAAGTGCCATGATGTTGTGATTGATGTAAGTCTTTGCTGTGTGTATGAAGAGAGGGGACAAAAGCCTGCTTTTTCTCCCTAACTTTCCCATGTCACTCTACTGTCATGCGCCTTGTGAAGTTTTCTTATTCCTGTGGCTTGAGGACAGCATATTGTTCTTAGTGAAAGCCAAGTGAGCCAGGAGCACGACTCCTAGAGTATGTGCTGTGCCCAAGCCTCTCTGCTTGTGCAAGTGGACTGTGCAGACCCAAGTTATTGATTGGAACTTGAGGGGAGGTTGAGGGATTGACACCTACTCATCCGCAGGGCACCATCTAACTGATCAAGTATCCTCATCACTCAGATAGGTGCTGGTTTTGTTGTTTGTCTAGACATACAGGGATCTAAAGGATCGCATCCAGCTGATGGCATATAAATGCAAGGTGGAGCGGGGCTCTGCAGAAGAAGAGAAGATAAACAGCCTACTCAGTAACATGGTAAGAAGCACCTGCTTTTTCTACAAACTTTTTGAAGACAGCCATAGGCTAGGTGTGCAGTAAGGGCATGACACCTACATTCTTTTCTCTCTGATGGGAAGTTAATGTTATGTTTGGGGTTACATTCAGAGTAAGAATGAAGGGTGATGCTGATAAAAGTAGCAGGTTTTTGCCGCAGTTGCCCTTTTCATGGTCTGGGTCTTGCTAACTTGGCCCAGGGGAACTGTGGTCAGCCTGATGTTAGTCATGCTTTGTTCTCTCTTTTAGCAAATCCGGTGGAAGAACTGAGCACCAGTGAAGTAACCTGCTTGGACGTTGCCTTGCCAGTACAAAAGGAAACTGTAAAAGCTGGTCCAGCGCCAACAGAGCAGCTCTGTTACTACTCATTGCATGATCAGTGTTTGTCAGTGACACTGGGTGCTCGCGGGACAGAGGCATTCAAGCAGGTTGAAGACAACTGCTCTGATGCAGCCAGTGAAACCATGGTACTGATCCACGAGTGTTGATTCTTTTTGGAATCTGATTCTCTTTGACCTGGTGTAGGACAGTCATGGCTTTTGTTTACAGAGGGAAGTTGCTGGACCAGGCAAAGTTGTGTTTGCTTATTGTGGTGTCTGGGCTCTTTCTAGCAAGAGGAACAGGTCAGTCATTCATGGGTCTCCAGTAGGCAATGCTGACCGACCAGTCCCTGTAACATTCAGGCTGGCTTGGGCATCACCAGTCATGGCTGTGGAGAACAAGGCCTACTGGACTGTGTTCTTCCCACATCAGAGTGTGAAGGGGGAAAGGGTCAGCTGCACTTTGAAGTCTTTCTTGGTTTGTTGTGGCTCACACCAGGAAAGAGGTTTTATGAACTCCTGCAGAGAGCCAGGGCAGCAGCCTCTGCCTGTATCCCTATGCTGGCACTTGGTAGCTCTCGGCAGATCCCTTCATCAGGAAAGAGTGGGCACGATGTGTGGAGCTGGTCAGAGCTGTGCTACATTGGATGGAGAGCAAGAAGGGGACCGCTCACTTAGCACAAACCTGATGATCCCAGGAAGGATTGAATTGCACTTTCTCAGAAACACAATTCCTCAGGCAACTGCTGGCTTCATCCTTCCAGACCTCTCTTCAGTTCCTTAAATAAAGCTGTCTCTTTCTCCTCAGGCTGTTTATTTCCTTTCCACATTATGCACTTTGCTGCTCTGTGCTGATCCTTAGCAATTTATCACACCTCCCTCAAAGTGAGTATGCAGGGTGTTTTCTCATATCCTGAAATATCACTGTGAAGAAGCCTTGCTTGCAGCAGTACCTTGTTTCATACTTTCCATGCTGTCAGTACAGATTAACTCATTTTTGTGTTTCAAGACCATTTGCTGCCATGAAGGTTCTCGTACAGAGCTGAAGGCTGCGTACAGCCATGTACAAGTCTGAGGGCAAATGTGGGCTCCAGCATCCCTGCTGCACTGTGCACTGTGCAGTCTCAGTTTCTGTGATCACTCTTGTTAGTTTTTTTTTTCCTGTTTTGTTATTGTTGGTTTTGGGTTTGTTTGTTTTGTTTTGTTTTCCCCACAGAATCATAAGCATGCTTAGGTTGGAAGGGATTTCATGATCATCTTGTCCCTTTCCCCTGCTCAGGTATGGTCATCTGAAGCAGGTGGACCAGGACTGTCCAGATAGGTTTTCAGTGTCTCACATTTGGAGATACTGGCTCCTCAGCCTAATTAATTCTGTTCCTGTATTTGACCATCCTCACTGTTAAAACAATAAATTAAAAAGTTTTGTGCTTGTATAGAATCTCACACATTTCAGTTTGAGCCCACTGTGTCTCGTTCTATCACCGTTAATGAGCATCTCGGTCTCTTAATTCATTTCCTCCCATCAACTACATGCATTGATGAGTCTTCCCCCGTGCTCCCCTTTTCAAGCTGAGCAGTCCTAGCTCTCAGCTTCTCGTATGGAAGATGCTACAGCCCCTTAGTCCCTATGCTAGACTCTAATATATTCATGCTTCTCCTGCATTGAAGTGTCCAGAATGGGACACAGAACTCTGGCTGCAGAGGATGGACTGTCTTTGACCTGTTGGTGCCATTCTTTCTAATGCAGCCAGGATGCTGCTGGTTAGGGTAATGCTTTCTGCCAGGCTTATCCATGTGCCCCAGCCCAGGAATTGCTGGGCTGTTGCTAGTTGGAGTTAATGTCAGGGAGCAGCAGGTGAAGCTGAGCAGGCCCTTGCAGGAATATGGTTAAGCCCAAGAATAAATCTCACCTGTGTTCCCCAAGCTTGTGTCCTGGATACCTCATCTGTGGGAGGTTAGGAGCAAAGAACAGCAGGCTGTGCCTACTGATCCCTGAGCTTGGTGCACAGAATGCAGTGCTTCTGACCTGCGCATATTGGATTTCCAAGTAAATGCATCCTTTGGCTTGGGGTGGGTTCTATGCAAGCAGTTAAGTCTAAGTGGCTACAGCTCATTCTAGAGCCTGCATCTGTATTAACAGTGTAGCAGGTACTGCCCCACTGGTGTGGATGATTCGGGGACAGCCTCAGTGGGATGCATGTTTCTTTAATACCCGTCTTAAACGCTATGTGCTTTTGTCACTTATCTATTATTAGGCAGCCGAGTCCACATGATGAAAGTAAATAATTGATAGATTTTAATGGAAGGAAGCAAAAAGAATAAGGAAATACAACTTATCTGCTCTCACCAGCTGAGGTGCACCCCTTTCCCATGACCTCCCACAGGCAGGAGCCAATGCAAAGGTGCTCAGCCCCCTCCCTTGTGGTTTGTTTTTTCACGCTCGCACAGCTGCTAGCCCTAAGGGCACAGCCATACCCTGCAGAAAAAGCAGAGCCTGCTGCAGCTCCTGCTAGCCTAAGCCCTGCTATAGGAATGCTGCCAGCTCCCAGGAAGGGCTGAGAGTCCCATGGGGCAGTGGTAGCCAGGTGCTCACCATGGCAGCAGGAGCACAAAGAGGGACAGATCCCCCGCAGAGGTGGAATGGTGGCTGGGTGTGGGTGGTGGATGGTGCAGGTCAGGACTCTAACCACGTGTGATACAACAGGCATGTGTTATCCTCATCCCTGGCTAGAGCTCGGCTGAAGGTTTTTGGGTTTTAGTCTGTTCTTTATCTCTGTGCAGATCTGTGGTACACTGAACAGTGCTGCAGGCTCTATGGGATGCTGCATGTGTGGGCTCAGACACCTACTGGAACAACTTGTTCCCAATTGCTGCATTGTATTTGGGAACCAACCAATTTTACAGGTCCCTTGTCTGCAAGGAGTCCTGAGAGCAGCTGGAGTTTGTGCTCTGTCTCCCTTTCCTAACCAGCAGGTGCTGAGTTGCACTGCAGTGCTGCACAGATGGAGGCCATGCTTCTCTCCTAGATCCTCACTGCTGCTGCCTGTCCTGAGCTTAGATGGGGGATATTGAAGAGGTTTTTGCATCCTTCTTGGCTGCTGAAGCAGTAGAAGGAGAGGAGGCCCTGCTATATCTGACAAGGCGCTGCAAGGGGCTGGCAGTGAGTGCGTGTGCCCATGCTGTCTTCTTCTGCAGACTTCTGCAGGCCTTCAGGTGAGGTGGAGGTGAGCTCCTTGTGCGGGCTGGCTGGTGTGGTCATCAGGGGGTCTCACAGCACCCAGCTCATTGTGGAGTTATTATCTCTAGATCTATCTGTGTCCGTGACAGGGGGACAGCAGGCCCAACAGCCCCCAAAAAGGGGAGGGGGGGAATTGAAAGGAAGGGAAGAGGGAAGGGTATTAAAACACACACACACACACACACACACACACACACACACACACACACACAAAAAAAAAAAAAAAAAAAAAAAGGCAACAATCTGAGCAGGAAAGTTAATTTACAAGTTATAATAGCAGAAATACATGTTAATTGGGATTGAAGCTAATAATACAAATAAATGAGAGAGACAGCATCCAAAAACTGAAGGGAACACAAGTTGCAGACGAGCAGTAAAAGAGGGGCAATCTTGTGATGACTTGTGTGCAGTTTTATCTTTGCCTCCAAATGGAAAACAGAACAGTGGAAGTCTTCTGGGAGATATGGTGCTTCTCTTTTGAGAACCAGCTACCCAGAAATATTGACAATGAATGGAACCGGAGCATTAACTCTTTTAAATCCCAGTGCACCGAACAATGTTATGATGTGGAATACCAGTAACAAAAAATCATAAAACCACAATACTGAGCTAAGACGTGGCACAGGTACACCACCACCCATCCTGGGGTAGTTCCAGATAGCACCAGATAGTGGATAGTGTGTCACTGGAAGAGCTGGGGAAGTGGCTGGGGAAGTGGCTCTGTAGGAGCTTCTTGCATGGCTCACGCTAGCTCTCTGTGAAGTTAAGGATTATATAGGTATGTGTATGCAATGATATAGTTTGATTGCTTTTTATCTGGTTCTGGATGGGTAAAAAGTCACCCAGTATTTACACCCACACTTGTCAGCTACTCAACACCCAGCTTTGTCTGAAATCGCAGTCAGTCTTAATACTCAGGGATTTTCCCCTTAGTTAGGCTGTTTTCCCTCTGAGAAAACCAAGGAAAGAAGATTGCCTCCACTACCAAAGGGGTTTTCATCCCAGAAATCTGGTGGTTCTCCATGCTTGTGACTTGTTTCCACCACCAGTATATGTGATTTATAATGAGCAAATAGTCCTATGTTAGCACATGGTGTCCCATGTCCCTTCTCAACAGCAGTCCTGTGACACTAGGCCATGCTCCCCATGCTGACTTCTCCCTGAGCTTGGTGTCACCATGGGGCTTGATATGCTGGGTATCAGCTCTTAATTTGCTGAGCTGCTTTGCAGCAGCTCACATCAGTGCCGTGGGCATCACAACATCTTGCCTGGTCCTTGACCTCAGGGCCCCTTTTCATCCCCCTCCTCCTGGGAGTGTAGTGGTGGCTTTCCCCTAGGCAGACATACTTTCCCCCAGGCAGACTCCTGGCACATGGAGTTTGGTTGCCTGATATGTTGGGCCAGCAGAGGGCCAGTTAGCCCCAGCATGAGCAGTGTGGACGCCATGCCCCTTGGCGTCCAGCCCCAAGCCCCATGGCTGCTGCACACTCCAGGCTGCAGCCATCACCTCTGTCATTCTGGAGACTGTCGGAGACCAGGGTGGGATGCAGGGGGTGGGGCTGGGATGCTCTATGTAAATGTATGGCCTGGGGAAGTCCTGAAAGGGCAGGACTGCATGTGGCACAGGGAAGTCATGGCTTCCAAGGGCCTGACAAAATTTCTCTGCTTCTCCAGGGTGAGCAGCACTGGGAAGACCTTGCTGACTTCTCTGGCAGATAGCCACAGCCTGAAGGTTGGCATTATTGGTGGAGGCCGTCTTGGAAATCACCTGGCCTGAGCACTGGTGGCAGTGGGTCGGGCTCCTTGCTCCAGTGTCCGCATTTCTACCCGGCGCCCTGAGAGCCTGTGTAAGTGCTCCCCAGCTGGACCAGGCAGCAGGTTGGGCTTCTGCTGTGCTTCTGATGGCCCTTCAGGAAGAATTCAGTAGAGAAAGTTTTCCTGCCATACATATTGGAGGTATAGAAACTTCAAATTTTATTTGGAGGAAGAACATGCTGTTGTGGAAAAGATCCTCATTTGGCTGGAAGCCCTCTGTACAAACATGAGTTCAATTTTCTGCTTTTCTTCAGCAGTGCCAGCTGAGCGTGGTGGAGACCATCCACCCTGTTCCTTTCAAAACTAGCTAGTTTCAGGCCCACTTTAGTTTAGCCTTCCCTCCTCCCTCCTCCCCCCCCCCCCCAGAGACACAGACACTCATTTGACTGTTCTTTTTGAAGCTCTCCTTACCATTTGTCAGGGGCTGGGTGGGTGACTGTGACCCCAGGCTGTTACGTGGCCATCCAAAGGCAGCTCACCAGAAGCATCCCTCTACTTGTCCCACCACTGCAGGGCAAGCCCCTTGCTAGGCCCTGGGGTGCCTTTTGCCAGTGCTGGGTCCACGGGCTCTGAGCCCTGTGTGCCTTGCTGCAGCAGACTTGCAGAAACTAGGGCTCACCTGCTTCTACGACAATGCGCAGCTGGCAGCCTGGGCAGACGTCCTGTTCCTCTGCTGCCTGCCATCGCACATGCTGTCCATCTGCTCTGCAGTTCAGCCAGCCATCCGGAAGCCCTGCATTGTGTACAGCCTCGTCACTGCCGTTCCTCTGCCCAGGTAAAACGCACTTGGTCATGCTACCATTCATCCCGAAGCTCACGGGGCAAATGCAGCATAGTGCTGGCATGGGAGCACAGCTCTTACAGCATCTCATGATTTTCTTGCAACATTGCTTCAAACCTAGTCAGTGTACTCAGCCACTCCCCATCTGTTGGCCACTGGAGGACTGGGACGGGGCTCTGAAGCAAGGTGAGCCTAGACACCCTCGTCCTCTCCTTGGGCTGCCTTTGCTTTCAGGTTGAAGCAACTCCTTTGCTACAATGCCATCGTGAGGCCACAGTACCAGTGCCCTGGCAAGGAGCCTACAAAGGAGTGGGGGACAAAGGGGTCGGTCACAGAGGCACTGCAAGACCTTGCTGTTGTGCAGGCAACATGCCCCCTCAGCTCCCAAGGTACAACCTCTCATTTTGGTTAAACTTGATAGTGAATATTAATTTTAGCACCCTCACCTAAAATGATCCCAGAACAGAGATTTCAGATAAGCTTGCTCTCATTGCTAATGCAATTGCTTACAGGAGAGGGCTGAGAATCTCTCTTCACACCTGTGTGCACAATGGTTACTGACATTTGATTTTCTTTGTTGTGCAGCGAAAATAAAAGTCAATGGCAAATGGCTGGTGGCCATTTTCTATGCAGCCCTGAACAGCAGCATGTGGCAGAGCCTGCCTCACCAGGAGGCACTGGCATTGCTCAATGACCTCTGTTTCCCTGGACACTGCCATATCTGCGCAGAGCAGAAAGCTTCCTGCCCACAGTTTACATGCGAGAGTTTTGTCAGCAAAAGTTTTGCCTCTTCAATGACTCAAGAGGAGTAAGTAAAGGGTTGGATGCTGAGGTACTGTTTTCCCAGGCCTTCTCTGTACTCTAAAACTTGCCATATCCCACAGCTGAAGCATAGAGTTGTCTTGCTGGGTTGGAAAGTGCTGAAATGTGTTTTGCTCTTAGGGACAATATACCTGCCAGGAAAGATTGCTTTAGATGTGCTAGAAATAAAAGACCTGGACTGTCATCACTGGGTTGTTTTGTCCTGGTCCCCAGTTCCTGTATGTCTACTGGTCAGGATTGTCTGAAGCCACAGGTCAGGACTGGGCTATCAGATGCAGAAAACAAAATCCCCTGGGAATATTCGGAGAAGATTTTTTATGGGTAATTAACTTACTTTAGCTCACAGACAAGATTGTTGAGGATGTTAAGTTAGGACATTCTACTTGTGGGAAAACGCCCCTATTGGTTCAGGAGCTCCCTACAATCATTATGTTCAGCTTTGCTTTGTATGGTGCAATAATGACTGGAACTTCAGATTCAGGTCTTGGAGTATAATTGTTCCCCAAAACCAAAGAAAGAAGCTAGCATTCAGATTCTAAAGAAAACTGATATTTGTTAAATTATTAGTAAGACTGTTATTGCCTATAGAAGATTGTTTTCTCTCCTCAGAACCTTCCCATGGTTTGACCTGACAACTGCACAACTGAGAGAGTCTCCTTTTAGCCAGCTGCTAGAAAAGAGTGAGTCTGTCCAGAACCACCTTGCTCTGCTGTATCAGTCATCTTTTGGAGACTGGCCCACAAAGCAGTGTGTGCTGACCAGCGCCAAGACTTCTCCTACATTAGCCATACCAGAACCTGACGTGGTGTTGATTAAGGACTCCTCACTGTCCACAACTTCTTTGAAAGTTTTTTCAGGAATTCCAGAGGAAACTACTGACTATGTTTCTAAATCCTCATAAACTGAAATGAAGTCTATGATATGCTGAGATCTCGTCCCAAAGGGATGAATGCCCAGAGATGTTGTCAACTCTTTTCCATCCATTTCCATTGCTGGTCTCAGTAGTGTCTAGTGGAAGAACACACTGTAAGGACTTTGTATTGCAAAAATAATGCCAAAAAGCAAATAAACCTTTACTTATCAATTTCTTAATCATAATGCAAAACACTGATGGAAGTAGGTAAAAGATTATACAATAGAATTACATTGTCTTTCTTTCCACTCTGTTTCCGCCTTTGAGGATCTCCATTTTGCATCCATCCGCAGTCTTGCCAAACATAAAAGCAGTCCCCTTTCTAATGTATCAGCATGGAGATCTCTTGATTTTTCACATTTTGAAACAAGAATGTGCATACTTACTTTTACAAGTTTCATGCCCCTTGTGAAACTTTCTTCATAAACCAGCTTCTTTCTAAACCTGCTGGAATCTTGCCTGGTTTTGGTCTTTGGTCACACAGACATCTTGGCCTGTGATCTGACTCAGCCTCATCGGGTTCCTGTTGCAGTTCCAACAGAAAACTGAATTACAGTTCACTTGTGGTGGTACAGCTCTAACCCAAAGAACTGAACAGACCTGGGGCCCATTTTTTCTTTTCCATGTGGGATCTCAGGGAAGTCTGTCACCAAACAAAATCATGAAGATTTAGTCAGGAGCACTCTTTCAGTTGAGCCAGGCTTTAACCAACACTTAACTCACAATTCCTTGCTGGTGACAGTTTGTGTTCCAGCGAGGTTGTACAATTCAAGTCCCATTGCTCTTACAGGTTCTGTGATACCTCGCTCAGGGAAAAAGAACATTTAACTAACTATATATTTTGTCCAAATCCACTCAGGACCCAACGTTAGCGTATAGTATTCTTTCACACTTCCTGCCTTGTGTTGCAGTACTGTTTGCTGTGATAAACCACTTCTTGGTTCTGTTTCACACAAAATCAGTTCTGTGATTAGGGCAGGGACTGGTTGTTTACATTGTACCTTGGCACCTCCAGACTGCTGATAGCAGCAGGCAACACAAATGTGCACCAGACACTGTGTGTGCCATTTGTCTTACGTTTGTGGTTAGCAGTGTTCCCGGTCTGCAGACACTAACACCTGGGAGAAACTTATTCACTTGAGCAGCAGGGAAATTATTGCCAATCACTGGAAATTAAAATATGTCTAGGATTGATTTTTTGTCTTCTTAATCAACTGTGAAGCAGAAATGAAAGACAGACCGTCAGTGGTAAAGTCACATCTGATTTATATGTTTTGCTTCATTTGGTTCCTGGAAGCACATGAATTGCAAAAAATTCTTACAGAAAACAGCCAATGCTCTTGAACCATGAAACCTTGAAACGTGTTTGCTGTCATCAAAATGCCAAGAGCCTTTTATATAACGTGAAAAATGTGAAACTATACCACCCTGGACAAATAGCAAGCTAATAAGGGTGTATACTGCTCTCCCAGGTGGGCTTCTTACACAAGTGGAACTGCAGCGTGACTCTAACCCTGAGTCTGTGTGCTCTGTGATAAAAGGAGAGCATCTGTTTCTCCCCCAGTCTGCGCCTGTGGCAAAGGAGGAAATGTAGAACGGGGCTCTAAGCCTGCTTCCTGGACAAACTGTGAGAAAGTGAGGGCATCTGCTTTCTGTCCAGATCGAGACTTTTGTTCCAGGAACAGACCCATGTTGTCTCTGTATGGGAGGGCAATGGATCTGCTGAAGACAGGCTCCTCAATCCCCAGCAACTCCCGCACATATCGTGAAATCTCCTGAAACACAAATATATCAGACCAAAATATCAGAAATTCTCACTTCACAGGACATCAGCTAATACCATTTGGTACCAAGGTAGCAAAAAAAGAAACTGAGTTTCTGGATTTTGGAACATTTTCGCACTTAAAGTTGCAACTCAGGAAGGATCTGAAAGTATGATCCTGGTATGACATTGTAAAAGGAGTGGAGACTGCATGTTCTCCAGAGTTACTGTGGGTGACAGCCTCACAGCAGCTTTCTTTAGTGGCACAAACAGCCTGGCTTTCCTGTTTGCACAGGCAGAACAAACAAGTTACAGGTGAATGAGCTGGAGTCTGCCTAATGCAAAAACATTGCTGTTTGCAAAGTTATATTGTTAGTAACTAGGTCTATACATAGAAGATCTGGAAAAACTAATGAAGCTAGTAAGCCACATTGCTCATTAAGAAAATCAGAGGTGACTGGCTGGCTGAGCCTGCTTGCTGGGACTGTCAGTGAAGAGGCTTGCCATTATTCTTGAAGTCACTTGCAAGGATGTAACCTTCTGATTTGACTGAAGCACTGAAATGCAGTTCACAAGGTTTTATTGGTCTTACACGGCATTTCCTCAGAACCTTCTCCCAGCCTTGCTTTGAGCCTCAAGAGCAGTACACTACTTTATCTGTGATCAAAATAACACTGGAGTGGTATTTTCAGTGCCTTTGATATACTTTAAAATACCAGTACAGTGGAATTAAAATCAGTAGTAACTTCACTTGATTGTGCTGAGAAGCTCTCATAAAATTTAATGTGTAGTTCTTTATCAAACTGCTATTTCTCCTATATTGCAAAATGTTTCTGTGTCATTGAACTGATACTATCATGCTCATTTCTATAGTAACTATCAGGCTTTGGCTGCTATCAGTCTTTTCCTGATATTTCTGGTTGGGAAGCTTGCATGCCCCCGTGTGCAGCATTACAGTGTTACCTTTGCACCTGCTCCAGTACGCTCTTACTGAGGTCCCTAGATGGGCCACAGTCAGCTTGGACCTCTGTGAACCTGAATCCCACCCAAGTAGGGTAGAGGTAGAAGACACAAACAAGCAGCAGGATGGAGCATGATTTTGAAGAACATCTAGGTTCTGCTGAACTCTGAGATTATCTTCACTCACCAGCTTTGGAAAAAGATGGTCTAATTTGTAAGCTTGCTGGAGTATGTCAGCTAACACTTACCCTGGCCTGGTTAGTTTCTCCTTCACTTTCTACAAGAGAAAAAGCAGGTCTTGCAGTTGATTTCTCTAGCCTGTGGCTTAGCTTCTCCCTAGCTGTTAAACAACTACCATATAAAATCCCTATATCCCAATGAGGAGCTGGGGATTAAAAATCATATAAAGAACTTGGTAAAATCATATAAGAACTTTGGTAAGTGCAGATGACTGACTGCAGAGGCTGTCTCTTCTTCAACTAGACATACTCTTGAAAGGTTTCTGTATGAACAAAGCCAGCACTGCAATGTGAAGCCTTCACCTCTGGGATCAACATTAAAACTCATGGTACTAATAAATATTTTTGGCAGCATATTCAATTTCAAACAAACAGTTAAGACTGCTCAGCCAGAGGGAAGCTTAGAGGTGAAATTGCTTTTTGGTACTCTAGAGTAAAAAAGCAGTGTTCATATGCTATTCACTGGAGCACAAAGATTTTCTCTCTCCCTGGTTATTTGAACTTCCACTTTGTGCCCTCAGAAAGCAACTGTAAATCAAACGTGAAGCAATTGGCTTGGCTCAGTAAGTGCAGCCTCAAATCCCTGTTTCCATTATGGAGAGGAAAGAGGAAATGAAATTTAAGTCAACTTGCTCTGATAACAAAAAGAATCACTGAATCAATTCTAGCAGTACTACAACTGGGTAAATGATCCCATCTAACTTCTGAGAATAAATGCAACTAGGTATCACCTTCCTTTAAAACCAGATGACTTTTCCCATCTGTGATCCAAAAGAGTCCTGTCCTTATTCCCTGAAGAGCTTTGCTCTCCTAGGAAAGAGCTGCAAGCATTTTGGATGTGTTTTATCAGTTCAATTTTCTGTTACATTTCCCTTTAAGGATTATTTGTGTGGTCGGTTTCAATTTCTTAGCCACATAATGAAAATAGGAAGAAAAAGCAGGCCAGTAACTAAAGCCTAAACTAAACTGAACTGAACTGAACTGAACTAAAGGTAGTTCACAACTAAATCAAAACCTGTTTTATTCCTAGGCTTGTCTTAGATCCACTACCTGACTTTGAGCTGGTATTTTCCTCTCTGCTCCTTTCATACTCCTACAAGGACCTCACAGGGACGCTGACACTCAACTCTGTTGTTGCAGTCTGAACTCTGCTGTCCTCTGGCTTCTCGTGCCAGGTCTCTGCACGTCTACGCTTTGTAGGCTCAGAAGGCTCTGATCACCAGGTATATATGTACCTGCTTTGAACTGCGGGTTATGTAAAAACCTAGTACCTTTTGATCCCAAATCAGACCTCCTTCTGTTCCTTCTGCATTAGCTGTGTCTCTGATGTGGTTTCTTACAGCAGTAGCTTATATCAGTGGAAAGCAGTTTTATCTAGGTTTCCTCCTACATGTTATTTAAAGGCTCTTTTTAGTACATAAATATGTTTCTTCTATGGCAAAGGTCTTTATTACCTTTTGTTTGTATTCAAGATATAGAAGTTTGACTTTGCAAGAGACTGGATTTGATTGTCAAAAGGGAGGATGCATTTAAGGGAAAACACGTGATTACAACTGAAATCACAGTCAATAGTGGATGACCGTGATTCAGACAGCAGATCCATTCCTGATTGAAATATCTCTTGGAACTATTCAAACAAATCTAAGCTCATGCTTCTCTAGCTATGACTACTGTTGCACAGGGTACATACTGTTGGGTATCTCAGCACTTATCTTCAGTAGTTTTCTTTTTGATGCTGATTTTAAGGTGACGGGTAACTGTAAGCCGCAGCAGTCAAACCACATGTCCCAGGCAAGATAAACCTAAATCACTATTAATTCCTCTACTTTACACTTTATAAAACATTGGGAACATCTGTGCTGCTTCCACAGTGTACGTACACAGTGATGTGTAAAATCTCTTTTAAAAATCCAGATTTCCTTTGGCTAAACCCTGCGTTGGCTGAGTGTTAGTGGTATATTGGGAAGTAAACCAAAAAGCAATAAGTATTAGTGGATCCTTTACTATTTTGATGTTAATCCTAAATTCACAGCCAGTGTCTCTGGTATCTCACACCACTATACAGCTGCTGGTTTCAATAGAACTACAGTATGTAGAAAAGAAGTGTGATTTAATGAAGAGTAAACCTGAGTGTGTTTCAAATACTGACCTACTTATGCAACATGTTTAGGTGAGGTTTCTTGTGTTTCCTATTGCCATCCCTAAATGAGGGATAAGAAAATAAAATGAGGAGTAAACGAAAGATCAAGACTCTCTTTTTCATCATGGTCCTAGTGAAAACTAAATGAATTTAAAAGGATACAAAAATTACCTACATTTAGTGTAAGTATGAAATGCTGCATCTCTGCACCTTCAGGAATCTTTGGAAGGGCAAGCCACAGCCTTAACCTTAGCTTATCTGTTGGTGGTTTTAAAGAAACAAGATCTTGAGAGGAAAATAACCAGAAAATTACATGTTTACAAAATGGGGAAGAAGCAGAGACATTTGTGTTCAGCAGAGTATAAACAAGGAAGTAATAATGAGTTGCCCTCCTGCTGCTTGAGAATCGTAGTTTGACTGTTGCAGGTTAAAGCTGCCCAGATTTGCAGATGTTCTACAAATTAAATCAAAGAGATCAGTAAGTGGAAAATTACTGAAAGGAAATTCTGAGGGAGTGCCTATGAAAGACATTTGCATCTTACAAAGCAATTTTCTAGGGTCAGAGGAGCAACACAGGCTAAAAGAAAGACAAGGCATTTCTGATGGGATGATGTTGTCCTGGAATGGCAGCCTGCAGCTCCCAGTCAGCTACAGAGTTACATCTGAAGACCTGAATAACACAGTCATTGGGTTGAGCAAAACCAGTTGCCTGGTTTCAGGCTCACTGCTCACACAAAATCTGTCTGGACAGATGAGTGACAGCCCTGCACCCTGGTGAGCAGGAGAGGCTGGAGCTGGACTCTGACAGACCGAGGCAGCCGCAGCACCGCAGCACACATGTGCACCTGCATGTGTCTGAAGTCTGTGATGCCCAGGGCTGGCAGGCTGGAGCAGTTCACCAGGATGAGGCGGCGGCCAGTGATGCCATTGGCTCTGAAGCACTCCTGGGCAGAGAAGCAGAAGGGAAGGTGATGGCAGGTCCATAGCCCTCGGCCATCCCCTGCCAGTGTTGTAGAATCATAAAATCACAGAAAGGCTTGGGTTGGAAGAGACCTCAAAGCCCACCCAGCCCCTGCCATGTGCAAGGCTGCCGAGGGCCCAATCCAGCCTGGCCTTCAGTGTCTCTAGGGATGGCGCACCACAGCTTCTCTGGGTGGCAGCACCAGCGCCTCACCTCCCTCTGAGTAAAGAATTTCCCCAACATCTAACCAAAGACTCCCCTCTTTTCCGTTAAACCCATTCCCCCTTGTTCCATCACGGTGTCCAGGGCCTCCGACCCAGGAAGCGGCAGCCCCGCACCTGGTACTGAGGGAAGCCGAGCCCCGACACCCACTCCGCCACCTCGGCGGTTCCCCAGGCCAGGACTGGGCGGGCGAGCCCCAACCTCGGGCTCGGCCCCATCAGCGGACGCGCGTCCCCCCATTGCCTCGGTAACCGCCACTTCCTGCAGCGCACCCCGCTTTCCCTTCCGCCGCCCCCCCCGCCCCCCGCTGGCAGCGCGCCGGCGGCTCTGCGGAACCCGTTCTCGATTGGCTCCGTTGTTGGGGAGGGACACAAAAGCCGCGGTACCCCGCACCGCCCCCTTCCCGCACGCACGCCACTCGGCTCTTTCCGCCTCTCTCTCCGCTCGGGTGTTTCCGCCGGCGGCGGGCGCGGAGCTTCGGCTTCGTTCGGGTGTTTCCGCCGAGGCGGGCTGCCGCCCCGGGCCCCGCGCCCGCCGGCTCTGCCCTACCCATGTCGGACGTGCTGGCTGTCGCTGCGGGCTCCCGGTTCGAGCCCCCGACTGCCGGGGCGCCGGGCAGCTTCGGCGGCGCCGAACTCTCCTCGGGTACGTGCCGGACTGCGGCGGGCGGGGGGCGGCGTGGAGATGCGGCTTGGGCTGCCGTCGGGCTCCGCGAGGCGGGCGGCAGGCGGGGAGCGCGGGGGTCCTCGTTTGAGCGCTGCCTGAGCGCCTCCTGTCCGAGTGCTTTCCCGATGGAAAGTGACTTCTGTCCCTGCCTTTTGATTGTTAGAAAATGAAGCCGCAGCCCAGAGGACGGAGCCCGAAAAGCAGCGGGGTGATGGCTCGGAGCGCAGCGCCTCTCCGTGCGGGTAGGAAAGCGTTCGTGTGTTCGGTGCCCCGCGGGCGTAAGCGGGTCTGCTTTGACCTGTGCGGGAGCGGCCCCTGTGCTGACGGAGAGAAGGGGCTGCGGACCGAGCTGTCTGCTTTCGGGCAGTGTGTGCTGGTTTCGGTGTAGGAGCAGCTGTCCCTGCGGGCTTACGTTTTAAAGCCTATGAAATGACGAAGTGTAGCTCATGGCTCACCTGTTCATGCTGCAGAATCGATCAGGTTGCAGTCAACTCCAGAAGGTTTTGTAGTTTGTGGTAAGAACTAATGAGCTTTCGGGAGATGTTCAGGGCGGTTCAGTACTTAAGCACTTGCACTGTGTGGAGGCTGAGCAAACATATTCCTTACGCTGTTTTCTTGACAACGTTTTTGTTCTTCAGCTTTTGTCTTCTGCATCAGCATTCCCCTAATGCTGCTGCCTGGCCACCTTATCAGATGCTTGGCGTGTCGTTACGGCTGGGTGTATGGAGTTTTACTTTGTTAGAGTACGTGTGTTGCTTGGGACACAGTTTCAGAAATCTGCAAGCTCAGTTTGTCAGAAAGTAGATTACACTATTTGTTAAATATCAGTCTCATTTAAAAAAAGAAAAGACAACAGCAAGCGACTCAGTAAAACAGCTGTTTGATGTCATCTTAGTTTGATGTGGATCACACTGATATCAGCCTTCTTGAGTCCAGGCGTTTTTTATATCACTCTTTATTATTCTATCCAGTCTTATTCAAGGAATGAATATAGGCTGTGAGCGGAATGGCCAAAGTAGTTGCTGGGTATTCATGGGTGTTACCTGATGAATTTGTGTACGTGGAATCTTCTTTGAAGGGAAGGGGTCCAAAAAGGATGATCCGAGAAGGCTGCTTGATGAGGAGTTGCTGAATGCTGTCGATCTGCTTGAAAAGCTTGCTCATGGCAGCATGAGCCGTGTTTGCCCTGTTCTAGTTCTAGTCTTCTGTATACACTCAGTATGGAATATGTTCTGAGTGGAGCTGCAATCTTTTTTTAAGCTATTCCACACTAGATTAATAGTCTGATCCGTTGCTAATGGGACTATTTCTCCCGTGTGAAAGGATTTTTTTTGTTGTTGTTGACAGTAATTTAGAAAAAAAATCTTCAGCAGAGATAGAATGCCAGGAATGTTTCCTTTCTTGCTCATTCTTTTCCTTGTTTGAACCTTTCTTTTTGTTCTGGAATGTCCCACTCGTCGCAGTGCAGATCTTGGACCTCTTTACTGTTGCTGTTCTGCTGTTGTGTGGTGTACAGCTCTCTTGTCTGTGCAGCATGTCTGAATATGGCAGAGAGACCTGTGTGTTCTCTGTATTTCTTGGGATTTCTGATGGGGAAGGTTGTGGTAGGACATTTTCAGGCTGGCTCTCAAAACTGTTCTGAATCCTTTCACTGTGCTAGTTGGCCTCTGATGTCATGTAGTAGCTGGTGTAACAGAAGGTATCTTGAGCAGAAAGTTGCTGCTAATTTCTATGCTCACAAACACTGCGCTGAGCTTATGCAGTGAATTAGCTGCTGTCTAAAGGACGTTAAATATGGAATGTGTCTTTGAAGTTACTCCTTCTGTCTGGTGTGGAAGACTTTCATGAGAAGACAAGGGCAGAACTCGGGTGCAAAGGGCTCTCTGCAAAGGCATTGGGCAGGATGCTCAGTGTCTCTGTCCCTCTGAATTCTGGCTGCCTTGGAGTGATCCTTCTCACAGCTGAGCTCTGCTGCTTGTGACCTGAGTATAAGTACTGAATTGTGGTACTTTCTTCCTCTGAGAGGTTGCAGATAGGGTCATCTGTGAGTGCGGATGTGATAGAAGATTCAAAGGAAGACAGTTGCACTTTGGAGGACCAGAAAGTGGCTGAAGCAGAAGAGAAGCTGCCTGACCAAATCCAGTCCACTAAAGAGGTAGGTGGTTGTTTCTGACATCTAAAAGGAAGGAAGGAGGTGCAGCAGCATTTCTTCCACCCTACTGCTGTGCTTAATAACTGTGGGACAGGCTTTAAGTGAATCAACTTTCATCTTAGCAGAACCCTTATGGTCCTCCATATGTTAGTGAGAGGTAGAAGTTCTGACTGACTTTGCAAAATCTCTCTTGTGTACTACTGTAGTCCTTACTTCCTTGCAGTTTCTGGTGTGCCAGGGTTTCAGGGTTATTCTTATCTTCTGCCTCTTGTCTGGGTCTTCTAGGGATTCCCTTCATGCATGTTTATGGAATAGAAGTGGAAGGCAATCTGCCATCTTTTGTCTCTTTTCTTGAGCAGCCAATTTGCTTGTATTACAAATACAGCTGGGAAAACTCGTGCAAGTGTCACACAGCTCAGGAGCTGTGTATTTTCATATATGGAAAGAGGGCTGGCCCCAGTAAGCCAGATGGACCTTTACCCAGGATGCAGTTGATGTCAGTGTGACTGTGCTGCAGTGCTGATACAGACAGAGCTGAAAGGCTCTCCCTAGAGAAGCAGCACTTTGGGAGTGCTTCCTGGGAGCAGTCAGATGCATCTGCGAGGCTATTTCTTTGCTGAAAGATGACAATTAAATCTCAGAAAGATGCAAACGTGCCTGCCCAGAGACTCCTGGGAAGGCTAAGGGATGTGTGGTTTGTGACATGAATGCAGTGTGTGACTGCGGAGTGTGTGGTGCAGTGGGGAAAGTAATGCAGCAAGGTGCCTCAGACCAAGATGCTTCTTTCTAGTTCTAACAAAAGCTTCTGCAGGATCTGACTTGACTTCAGCGTTAATTACTACTGAGTTGCTGTAAATCCATCTGAGGACTTTATTACATTATAATCTTTGTGACTGGGTGTATGCACTTTGTGCAGGAAGCTCTTGTTCGAATGACCAAGTACCACATACATCAAGGAGCAGGGGATATAGTCATGATTCAGTCAGATCACACTGGTGCTGTGGATATCCTTTCAGCTGAGCTGGAAACTGCAGACCTCCTTGGAGAGCAGAGAAAAGGTGAGGCATGAAAGGACCTAACTTGTTAATTACTCTGTGGCCACTCTTTTTTTTTTTTTTTTTTTTTTTTTTTTTTTTAAGTGCCAGTGCCTGCCTTGGCCAGAGAACAGTAGAGACTGTCTTAGAGGCACTGCTGGTTCCTGTTCACTGCTGTTTCCCACTGGCCTGTGGGCTCCTTGCTAGTGATGTGAGAAAACTTCATATCTGACTCTAGAATACAAGAGCTTTACTGAAAACAGTGAAGCTATTTACAGTAATTTGGCCAGTAGTTATATGAGGTGATGATCTTTTCCTCTTGCTTCAGCTCAGCCTCCCCCTCTGGCTCCACCTACTACATGGACCACAGGGAAGATGAAGGAATTCAAAGCCAAGATGGGAAAAGAGAAGAGTGCTAGGATGGTGGTGAAACGAGGCGAGGTGGTGACAGTCCGTGTGCCAACCCATCCTGATGGGAAACGTGTCTGCTGGGAGTTTGCGACAGATGATTATGACATTGGATTTGGAGTCTATTTTGACTGGACCGCTGTTACTAGCACTGCCATTACTGTTCAGGTCAGCGAATCCAGTGATGAGGAGGATGAAGAGGAGGAAGAAGAAATTGAAGGTTGGTGCACACTTTAAGAGTTATTTTGTGGTGCTTGTTGCCATGCTGCTAAGAATGTTTGTCAGATGCTATAATTTCCATCTACTTTGCTTACCCAGTCCACTTGTTATCTCTGCAGCCCATTGGGGTTTGGTTAGGCTAAAATGGCAGAGTGGTTAGCCCTTCCTGCTTCAGCACTTATCAACGTCTGTTCTCCTCCAAGAGCATTTTTTGAAACCTAATACACTGAAAAATTAAGGAGAAATCACTCTTCCAGCTGATAACAAGCTTTTCTAGCTGAGAAATTTTTGGTAGTAGATGATAACCAAAAGGTTCTTTTTTGTTTTTACGTTGTCCCGGTGTATCGTTAACTTGTGCTGACTGTCTCTGTACCTGTGAAACGCATATTACCTATTCTGTGGTTTCAGTATCTTTATGACCAGTGCACCTGGGGGTTTTGGTGTCTGAAATCAATCTTGCAAGTTCTCCAAAATGTATAGGTTCATATTTGAGAAATGTATTCTTAGAGTGAATTGAGGATGTACAAACAGTGAAGCTATAGTGAAGACCTTTTCCACCTTTTCCTTGCTCCATGTCAGTAGCACTGGTCCTCCTTAAGGAGACCTGGTTGTGGCATATATAAGAGGAGTGAACTGTCTTAAGTGCAGTTAAGTCCAGGGAGAGTAGGCCAGGCTGGCGGACAAGTATGTACTGTTTCATTAGTATTGCGAAGAGAACTGATCCTCAACGTGTCCTTTTTCTCACAGTAAGAAAAGTTGAGCTTTGTGGGTAGTATTAGCAGAGGTCAGGGCAGACACTAATGTAATGCTATCATAGGTAGCCCTCGAGATGAAAATGCTTACATTCCTCTGTATTCTGGTCTTGTTTAGCTTTTTATGAGCCATCTAATAGCTTAACTGATGCTTTCATGCTTTCCTCCTCTTTCCCTTTTAGGACTTGCCCCTGTTGGTGATGTGGAAAGGGGCTCCAAAAGCTCTCTGCGGAACCGCTATGGAGAAATCATGCCTGTGTACCGAAGGGACAGCCATCGGGAGGTGCAGGCAGGCAGCCATGACTACCCAGGCGAGGGCATCTACCTGCTGAAATTTGATAACTCATACTCTCTCCTCCGCAATAAGACTCTGTTCTTTCATGTCTTTTACACTAGCTGAAGGGATGGGAAGGGGCAGGGATGGCAGACAGGAGGTGGTGAGCATAGCAGGCTGCCACCCAGCCCTGATACTCCTTGATGAGCACTTCTGTGTGACAGAACAAAGGCACAACTCTGCTAGCGACTCTTCAGACACAACTTGGTTTCTCCCCATGCCCTCCCTCCCAGCTGTCCTGGTGGAGAAGAGTGGTTGTGAGTGGTTGTTCACAGGCAACTGTTATTTGTATGAAACTCTGGGAGTCCTGCTCTCTGTAGGTATAGTGTTGGGCCTTCATCATAGCCAGTAAATGCCCAGAGGCCAGGTGCAGCTGGTCTTGGTTTCTTTCTGTTGCAGTGGTACAAAATGAAGTCAAAGAGTTCTTCATCTGTTGCTGTTCTGTAGATCTTCAGGCTCTTCTGCTGTATCTGGATCACTAGAGGGCAGCTATCAGCTGCGAAGAGACAAAAACATGTCTGGCTTGTCACCAAACCACTGATAAACTTATCACTTACTGCCACTATGTGTCACCAGCTGCCAGCACTTCCTTTGTTCCTATATGTGGGGATGCAGTGTGGCCATGCTACAATAGCCAGCTCCAACCTATGGTACCCATGTGTTAGAGCAAAGTGTGTGGGGCTGGGGAGGGGAGTGCACAAATAGAAGTTCATAGGAAGATTTTCCTCTGGATCAAGAATTAGATATTGCATCTGTAGATTACAGAGATATAAAAATTATGATAAAATCTCCAGTGACCACAAAGTTTTGTTTTTTTTTTTCCTGTAATCCAGATGTAAAAACAGAAGAAATGGTTTACTGCTGTATTGAATAAATATGAAAAGGTCGGGATACGACCAAGAAATACACAAGAAATGTTTCTTTGTAGCAGCATGTTGATTCACTGGCATTGCTGCCAGCTGAATAATAGCATATATAGGAAGGAAGATGCTCCCCAGGGAAGCATAGTTTCTCAGCTGCTATTGCTGTTACAGAGGTGTTGTTGCAAAAGAGCAGAAACTCAAAAGGGGTGGGATTTTCCCAGTCCTTTCTGTAAACCAGAATGAGCAAGTCCATTGCTAGCCCTGATCATGTGGTGAAGGATAGAGTTCCTTGACATGTTTTAGTGGCTATGATAGCACTTCCTGCTTGAGTATTGGCAGAGTTGAACAAGGATTATGTTAATCATTCAGAGATGAGTTTTAAATCACATTTATCAGCAACTGTTGTTTATTTTAATACTTAAAATCATGCTCTTTTTAAGAATAGTAATGTGTTTACACTTTGTTACCTCTTTGCAGAGACACAGAATGGCTTTTTGCATGGTGATCCTAGTAGAATTCTGAGTTTTAATTTTTAAATCCTCCAGGTAAGGCACCTCTATTTGGTCCATTCCCTTTATTGAGGGGGATTGATGAAGAAAATGATTTTGGGGTAGTTAAGACCAAAGATTTCACTGTACTAGGAAGGCTGTATATTTCCTCTTATGGCTATATTGTAATGCTGTGGAATTTTCTTTATGTTCAAGCTCTTCTTCTAGCTATCTGTGATCACTTATTCGCTGCCCCAGAGCACTTAATAGGTCAAAAAGACGTGTGTGAGAGAGAGATGTTTATAATGGAGCAGCCCAAGCTTGGAGCAGGAAGAAGGAAAACCAGAAAACTGGTTGCTCCATGGGTGAGCAGACAGGAAGCAGAGCTGGCCAGGATAAGGAGCAAGCTGGTGCTATTCTGGGCCCTGAGTTGAAAACCTTTCTCAAAGGAGAGAGAGGACCTGGCCACAGGGGAACTGCAAAGCTGTCCCTCAAGCAGAGGGAAACATAGGGCAGCCTTAGGGGGAGGTAGAACAGTAAGACTTGGTATCTGTCATAGTAAAGTGATCTTTAGTTTAGCAGCTTGGGGAATGTTATTTCTTCCTTTTTCCCCCTCCTGGGGAGATGCAGAACCATCTTGTGGTCTATGTACAGCATTTGAATCAGGCCTGAGCCACTTGCATAGGGCTTCCCCCACGCCCGGGGGCCCCCCCCAGGGGGGGTGTTTTTTTTTTAACCCTTTGCCCTTGAAGTTCTTTGACAATAAGAAGGTAACCTTTAATTGACCAAAAATGTCAGCGCTGCCCAATGCAATTACTGCCTTTGGTCCTTTCTGATGTAATCTGCAGGGCCCTATGTGCACTTGTTGGTTAATGTATGAGACACTGTGTGGCACCTGATCCAATTTTTAATTAGGATTTATTTATGACAAAGGGAATTTTGACCTATGCGCAGCAATTGTAGAAAATTTATCCTGATCCTCAGTTTCACAGCGTTCTGTGGGATACTGTTATTGCCACTATATAAATGTTTCTCCTATAATGTGGCCTTCCTATTGCTAATTCACAGCCACTTCTCCTCTCATTGTCTGTATTTTGATCATATCCTCATTCAAAATACATATTTTAATCTTGTAAGATGAGAAAAAGACCTGCCTGACTACCAGTTCTGGTCGCTTACTGAAGCAAATAGTATGTGCAAGTTATCAAGGTAACTTGTTAGTGGTTTTAGTGAAGACAGACTGTCTTGTAGATGATGATCCTATTGCTCAGTTCTAGCTTTCTGAAATGTGGACCAACCTTTTAATAAGGCTCAGGTCATTTGTTTGGAACTGTCCCCATCTCTTAGTCTCATTGACTTCAGCTTAACAGAAGCATTGAATCAGGCATGTTATCCCAATCTGTATGTGCCTGTCCTGCAAAAACATTACGCCCTTAAACAGACTTGGAACTAAAAGTATCTACTATCACACATCTAATAGTGTGTATTATTTCACTGCTTATGCTTTCCAGAAGCATGTGGTATCTCTTATGAACACAAAACAATTTTTGGCATAAAATGTTTCATCTGCAGGAAACAGAAGCTTTACAGTTGCACAGGATAATTACCCTTGGTTTATTCTTTAACTTTCATGTCACTTAAGTGTTTCTCAGGTCTTAAAAGTATCATTCATTATCTAAGTGACGACTCCTTTTAGGAAGGATCTGTAGTCTTTATTCATTCTCTGGTAAATCTCCTAGCTTGGATGCAAGGCTAGTGATTAACAGTGGCCACTTGCATTCAGAATTGAACTCGTAGTTGTTCAAAGAAATAATCTCCTTATTTCTTGTGTCCTTTTTTCTGTTATCTGTGTATCCTGGACTTGTATCTGATCCCGCTGTCTGCTAAAGCAGTGATGGAAGCCATTTTTGCTCTAATTGCAAACTTGTGGAACTAAATATTGGGTTTAGAAAGAAAAATGAATTTAGAAGGCATTTTCACTTCATTGATTCACAACTTGATTAAGGAATAAGCTGCTTCTACATTTTGTGAAGTTGTTTTGTTTTTTTTTTTTTTTGTTTTTTTTTTTTTTTTTTTTTGCTTTTGTAAAAGCACAGAATTGTTTTCCAGTTTGTTTTGAGTATGACTTAGAGACATAAAACAATCCTGTCGCATAGGATTTGCATAAAAATTGGGTTGTATAATTGTCCATAATAATAGTAACAATCTGTTGGGTATTTTTTAATGTCAAAGCAGGTAATAAGCTATCCATTGTTTTATCTTACTCTTCTCCCTTAGCACTAGTGTAGCAGCAGGAGTTGAAAGTGTATGTGCTTCACTGAGGACTGAGAGTTAAAATTGCTTAAGTCAGGCACCGCTTGTACTATTTTAATTTGCTAACCAACTCTGGAGGCCCACATTAAAGGTATTGGTGTCATATATAGGCTATTCCCAAAGTAATATTTGGGACTCATTTAGTAGTTATCTACATTAATACTACCACTAAGCCACTTACATGAACAGTAAGATGAAAATGTGTGCTTAAGGAGAGAAAGAGCTTAACTGACTGACTTGAGGTACTAAGACAAAAGTTGAGTTACTATGCAACAGTCTGAAAGGTTGCCAGATTCCTTTCTTTTTGGTCCTATCCTGTGAACTGTCTCCTTGTAGCTGTGTGCATATAGTTGTGTATTGCCTGCAGTGGGGCCAGTTGTGCTGCTGGACTTGATAGGGTAGACTGGAGGTGACCCTTGTCACGTGTCTAATTGCTGAAAGAGGTACTTGTTCTTGTGAGCTGGAAACTGGGGGTAGAGAATTAATCTCTAAATGAGTTCACTTTGTCCCCACTGCTTGTACCCTTCCTTCTTGTCTCACTACTTCCTAGTATGCTTTGCAGAGGATTTATCACAGGGTGCCTTAGGAGCAAGGAGCATGCCTGAAGTACGAGCCACAGATGTCATTAATCCAGGGGTTTTCTTCTTGTTTCTCTGCCTATTTGAGTAGGGTTGAGGCACTAAGATCATGTAATGAGAGAGTCCTGGTTGGCTGTCCTAGGGATTTAAGTTGTTCATTAGTCTGCCTTGTTGCTGTAAGATGAGTAGTAAAATTGTTAGTTTCCTGGCACACTAACTAAAGTTTTAGAGTGAACATCAAATGGTGGAGTCCAAACACATCTTGCTAGGCCAAGAATTTCCTGTGCAATTATTCCGCATTTGCCTCCAAAGAGTCTCTGGCATTTTATTCTGAAACACTCGTGCTATTGCAGCTGAAGACAGAACATCAGGCTGAATGGATGGATCTGTGGTTTGACAGTAAGGATTATCTGGTTTAAGCCCATCTGGACTGGTGAGTGAAGTCTCTTAGGCATGAAGCTGAATGCTAACCATTAGAGCTAAAGAGGCTTTACTTGACTTTTAAGTTTAGAAGCTGTTCTTGGAAACTAAATAGTTGGAGGTGATCTCCCTGTAACTTCCTGAAAACCTGAGTGACTAACTGCTCTCCTCAGAGTGGAGCAATCTGCTCTCAAGTCCCTGCTCCAATCTGCTAGCATAGTCTTTCAGTGGAGAGTATCTTGTAGGTGGTCATATCTTTTTTTTCCAGACATATATTCTTGTAAACTGTGACAGCTGTCTCTAAGTCTTTATTTATGTGACATGAATATATTTGTTGTCCCAGAACATCGAAATTCATTTGTCTGTACCAACCCATTGCTTTTCATCTCCTCTGAAGAAACTAGTTTTAAAGGGAGGTTACTTCAACAAGATGTGGCACCAAACTCTTGCTGAAGAGCACATGTGAATATTTATAGTGTGTTTGCTTTCCTTCTAGGCTTGGTTTGTATTGTTTATATTCGATGTGTTGTGGCTGATTTGTAATATTATATTGAAAGTTATTCCCTTTAAATAAACTTTTCACTATGCAATCACAATGTTTGTCTTCTGTTTAAAGAGAATGTATTAACAAAAGAAAGTGAAATACAGACTTACCAAAAGAAACATGAATACAATGAAACTGATTTTTATAAGCAACAAAATAGCAACTATTCAAAATGTACTTTGCACTGTAGTGGACACTTCAGTTGCAAACACATAGGAAAAGGTGCTGTCAGCTAGTGATCACTGCTCCAGCTAGGACATTCTCTGTTAAAATGACTTGTGGTGATTATTTATTTATTTATTTATTTTAACTCTTCAAATCATCTGCAGTGTTTGCATTTGTACTGAATATTTGAAGACCTGGAGAGGAACAAGCAAGTAGCCAGTCTCGTAGAACTGGCTCAGAAAGAATTTGAATGGCCTATCATTCATTGCTTCATACTGGCTCAGTTTACAGAGATCACTTTTAGCTAAGTATTCTGTTACTAAAGCTTTCAATCTGAAAGATTAAGAACATATTTTCAGCTACCAGCTACTGATGAAATTATCTACAACAAAGTGTTTGTCTTTAGCAATTTCCTCATAGCTGCTTGACCATCAACTTCATCTCGCTATGAAGTCTGAATTTGTGTAGCCTAGAGGAAGCATCTTCAGAGAGTGCTTATTGGTCAAAGTGAGACCTAGGGCGGCTGAAGCTATGGATACTTTCTCATGTGTTGTTTCAAAACCCAGTAGGGCAGATGCTGAGTTCAGATGTCTCTCTTCTCATCTTGTGTTCACCTGGAGCATTTGTACAAAATAATGGATGGGCAGCAGTGATCACACAGAGTTGATCAAAGGGATCCATAACTCTGCCAAGTTAAAGATACTGTCTCTTTTTAGGAGCATGGAAAAGAGGCAGCTCTCTCAGTATTTGACTGCCATTAGCTCACTATGATCTCTGCCGTCTGTCCTGGCTCAGGCATGGGGCCAAGAACACAATTAAACAACTTCGGGGATGCAGGGAAGCGATGTTGATATTTCAAAACGTTATTTCAGTCTTTCTGTAACTTTAGTGGTTGGTTGAGCTGCAGCAGGATGGACCAGTTCTTTGGCAGCGGGCTGTGCTGGCCCCGCGCAGGAGGACGCTTTCCAGTTGCACGTGTGGAGGACGGTTCCCTTAGCCGCTGAAGTGCTGTCGCTGGCGTCAGTGCAGCATGCAGGGGCGGCGGGGTAGCCTCGGCCGCTCCCTTCGCGTACGGGCCACGCGATCCTCGCGGCGAGGAGGTGGTAGGGGCGGTTGATGCCCGGCGGCCGCCCACAGCTGCGCCGCCCTCCGGCACCTCTCTAGTGGCCAGGCACGGCCGCTTTTTTTTTCTCTCTCCCCAGCCATGCTGCCCGCCTGCCGCGGCCCCGCTGTCCGGGGCGAGCTGGGAGCGGGCGGTGCCGCCTGGGACAACGACCTCGCCTTCTACGTGCTATGGGCGCTGCGGGAGCCGCCGCGGCGGCTGAGCAGGTGCGGCCCGGCCCGGCGCTGCCCCTCCGCGGGCGGCGGCAGCCCGGGCAGAGAGAGGGGGGCGGCGCCGGGCCGGCCGGACGTGGTGCGGCCTTAGGCGGGTGGCAGCTCTCCCCTCTGAGGGCGACGCTTTCCTTCATCGCATCCCCGTGCAAAACGCTCTTGAGTAAAAGGAGCCCTCTCTTTCTATGCTTCCTTGGTATATTTTTGAGCGTTCCTGGTTCTTCTCTGATTGTATGTTTTCTTGTTTGCTCTCCCTCCCAGCCAGTCCAGCAAGATGGGTTACCAGGCCTGGCTGCCCCTGCCACTGCCTAGGCAGCTGGTAGTGTTCAGCCTGGGGGACTGGAGCTGCTACTCCCCAGACACCTGCATCACAGTGGACGTGTTGGTGGCACCGGGCGTCAGGGTGCAGCGGCTCGGCACGCTGGGGCCTGCCTGCAGGTAGCTGTGTGACAAGGCGCTGCTGGGTGCTGCTGGGCTGCCCTGTGCTTGGCCCTCCTTTTCCCTTTCTTTCAAGGCTTTATATGAAGTAGACCAGAGCCTTCCGGGATGGCTCTGGGAAGAGTGAATATAACAGAGGCATAACCAAAAGCCACAGGCACGTTGTTTGCACTAAAACTATCACAGATCCTGTGGAAGAATCTGTTTAGAATAGGAAGTCTTAACTGTCTAGTATGATGGTTATTTGGATAAGAATACCCCTTTACCTCTTAGAGATTGTGTTAGTTCTCCAGAGCTGTCTCGCATGTCATTGGCCATAGTGTGAAAGAGAATCAGAGACAGCCCCTGTCCTGCTCTGTTTCATGAGGTTACATTTGTACACCCAAACAAAAGCTAATCCCTAGAGCTTCCTGTGATGTCTCTGCTGCTTTCAGAGTTCTTATTTTTTGGCTTTGAGGTGCTCCCAGCAAGTTTAGGAGCAAGAATTCCTCAAAGGTTGGTGCTAGCTGTAGGCTGAAAACCCATGATGCTCTGTGCAGGTCTCTGGTGTGGGAAGGAGACTGGCAGACGGATGTTTTCATGGCCTCACTGAAAGAAACGCATGATGGCAACCCTGTGAAGCTTGTCCTGACTGTCCATGGACAGGTGAAAGAAACAATAACCCCTCTCCCTGTCCTGGATTCCAAACCACTTCATCTCTGCCAGCTCTGAACTTTAAACTTCCTTTCTCATTCTGTTGTGTTTCTTCTCTTTGCTACTTCAAGGCAGGGCCACATTGCATAGATCTGTTAACATATCTGGTCTGAACCTCAGCCTTCCTCAGTAATCCAGTCCTACTCACTAAACACAACTTTGCTAAAACACCTCACGTATTGCAGCAGATATGCAGCAGAGAATGGCTCACTTCTAATTCTACTTTCCTGGATTTGTGGTAGATGAATGACTGCTTTACAGTGTGCTAATGTCCTTGGATTTAGAATTTTTCACTGTCTGGCTTTTTTTTTTTTTTTTTTTTTTTTTTAATTTTGTTGGATTATCCCAGAAAGATTTGGGCTATTTCCTTGTTGGGAAAAGGAACCTGTCCCTTGCAGTACATATTTATGCTCATCTTCTGTGGCTGATAGTTTGCATGGACTTTTGTTCTAACACCATACATTGTTGCTCCTGTCCCAGCTGCTCCATGGAGTCTCCAGCAGTACACCTGCACACTCATTTCTGGTCCCAGAGACCACCCAGTCCCCAGTGCTTCCTGCTGATGATGGGCCCCTTGATCAGGACCTGGAGGATCCTTCTGCTGTAAGTGTGCACTAGGTCCTTCTTCTCATCAGTTCACTCCTCCTTGGTATGTGCTCTGTCAACTGAAACTGCTCAGCTTGTATGTAGCAGCAGCACATGCTGCCTTTCTCACAGAAAGTACCTGACTAAGCAGGTTTTGGAGTCAAAGGTTCATTTATGCTGCAGAAGTTGGATAATATCTCTAAAGGGGTTGAATTTAACAGCCCTGATGGGATCACTAATCCACGTGGTTACTGGCATCGATGCCCCTCTGCCTCTCTGGTTGCCTCTGTACGAGCTTGCCTGTGGCAGCCAGTAGCTGAAAGCAGGCCGCTGGCTGGGCACATGGCAGTGGGTGTCTGCGTGGCTTGGTATGTGTTTGGCAGCTGATGTTGTTGGCATGCTGACCCTGAAGATTAAATAGGAAAGCCTGAAAACAGCCACTGCATCAAACTTGTCTCTGTCCCTGTTACAGATAAATTTGCAGTAGCCTCAAGTCTTTCTCTTCATAACTGCTTTGACTAGAGCTCTTGTCACAGGTTAAGGGTCAGAGCTCCAAGATGACTGCAAGAGCTTCCTGGCCTGCTAGGAAGGACTTCCACACATCACTAAGGAGCCTAGTGGTACCCTGCGCCCTGAAGCAACCACCTCATGAGATAGAACCCGGTGATGCCTGGAGGGAGAGTCCTGTCTGCCCCAAGGAGCCCAGGAAAGCTTTATTTGAACCCAGAGCATCTGAGAGAGAGCTTGATGTAGAAGGTAACTCTGTCAGCTTCTGGATGTATTTATGGGTCTTATCTGCACTGTATCTCACTGCTGATGGCAATAGGTTTCAGTTTGTTTCTTGGTGTGCCTCCAAGATAGGGTTGGGCTTGTCTGTGCCTGGCAAAGTACTGAGAACTGCTCCTTCCACCTGGATAAACTGCTTGAGCAGTTTTTGTCTATTGGGAAAAGGATATAGATCATGATGTATTCTTTAGTGCCAATACTCTGTACTGTAACATTATATGCTTTATCACTTCATATGAGTAAAAGTGTTGTAAATGAGGGCATGTACCATTAGCCTTGTCTTACGAAAGAGTAAACAGAGGCAGAAAAAAGTAACCTACTACTATGTTCTGCAATCTCTCCATTAGGCTGTCTGTTCCCCTACCATCAGCATACCACTTGGTCCATAGAAAGACATTGTTTATTTTTGAAGTATGGAGGATAAAAGAAGAAGTGTATATAAGTAGTATAATTATACTGAATTTTCAGTAGTGAGGAGGTAGCTGCCAAGGGTTTTAGGAATTAAACCTTTAGCTTCTGGAGTGTGAATTTCAAGTCAGCTCCAAGGTGTGACCAAGTGCGTGTAAATATTTGACAATAGCGCAGTGTCACTGTGTGAAATCGTTTACTGGGACTTGCTTCTCACAAAGATAAATTTAGGGGGGGAGAATGAGGTTTTCATCAGCAATGTAAAATGCAACAGCATGATAGCCATCAGAGGAGGTGTGCCTTGCTCTTATCTGTCTTCTCCATCGCGTCTGATGGGACTTTCTTCATGATTCTTGGTCTTGCAACTGGTTGCTATCAGGTAGCTTTGAGCTGGGGGACTGAGGAAAGAAGGCCAGGGGGTTCTTACACCGCAGAGCTGAGTGTTTCCCAGGGTATGTCTGCTGGCTGCTTTCTTTATGGAGCTCTCTCTGTGTTTCTTCTGCAGATCTGGCAATGGAGGAGTTGCAAGGTGAAGATCTGGTTTCTAGACCCTGGTTTGTCTTTTCACCCATGGCGATGCTATTCCCTTTGACATCACAGGCTGCTTGTGTTTGATCCTTTATCTCCCCAGCAATCAGGAATAGCCAGCACTGTTGTCTGTATATATTGCGTGCAATTGTGTAGGTGCTTTAGTACTGTCAGGCTCTCTAAGAGTGCTTCTGTAACCCCTTTGAATCTCAGGGACACTTCTGGGTGTGTAACCATTTGAGACAAAGAATAAGATGTGGAATAAGATTTGATATAAAGGATTTTTTAGCTTGCTCAGCCAAATGCAGGGGTTGGGATGGGAAAAGAGGAGGAACAGAGCAGTAGGAGGAATGTCGCTGGAAGCAGCTCCAGGTTTTGGGTTGGTATGTCTTAGGCATCGATAAGCTTTTATTGGTAGCCATTCCCCATGTAAGTAATGCAAGCAGAGAACACAATGGGATTTCTTTCTGGGAATAGGTGCTCAGTGGGATCCAAGCTTGCCTCTGCCTGCCTGTCTCTGAAGTGGCAGCTGTATGCGTCCTACATCCAGCCAGAGTCCTCTTTGCTGACTCCTTCTTATGATGACACTCTTAGTACAATTCTTTTCCTCCAAACCCAACAGAAAATCATGCACAGGGAGCTGTGTTCTTTGCCACTCCAATGATTAGAGATCTGCAGTCTTTGCTTTCCTATTTCCCTCCCTCTGAGCCCTCAGTTGCCTTATTCTCTCCAGTTAAGGGAACTGAGGAGTGTCTTCTGACTGCTCCCAGCACTGTGCTCTCTCCTCCCCAGGCAGCCCCAGCCCACGGTGGTGCCATGCCATGTGCCTCAGCGATCACAGAACGGTTGTTCTGGTTGGTGGAGAAGGGGCTGATCAGCAGGCCTGCAAGGATGCTCTTTGGAAGTTGGAAATTGGTGAGGAGTTTAAGGCTGTCAAAGGCAATGGGGTGGGTGGGAATAAAGGATGAATTGGGTGGGAGAGTGTCCTTTGAGGTCTGCGCTTGGGGAGGGAACAGCAGAGGGGTCACAACTCCTAACACAGTCACTGTGAGTTCTAGGTAGTGGCTGATGGTGATGTCACTCCAGGCAATTTCCCAGTGTGCTGGGAAGGTAACTGCAGGATGCACAACAGAATTTTCATGCTGCCTGCTGCTGTGCTGTGCCTGTCAGGAAACTTGCACTTTGTTAAAGAGATTATGTTGCTCTGGAAAAGCAGACAGGAGAAAGGGAACAAAGAACCTGTGTTAACATCTGTGCTTATGGCATAATGATGTCCCCATTTTAAACTCACTTACCTACCATCTGCCTGGTGTTGCTCCTACAGACAGCGATTTTTGGTTTCCAGTGAGTCTCCAGCAACGAAATGCTATGCCGTCATGCTTACGTGGTCACACAGCTACCTATGACCCAGACACCAAGCGTATCTACATTTTTGGGGGTATTAGGGAGGACAAAGACTACAGCGGCATCTACATTCTGGACACAGTCACCTGGAAATGGCTTCTTGTGGTTGTAAGCACTGCAGCTCTTCTAAAATAAAAGCACATAAAGTGTGTTAGGTCCTGCCTGAATGTAGCAATTGATGTACTGATGTCTGTACTCCAGGTCTGTTGTTGCTGCAGGTTGCCTGAGCTGCTTAACTTTCTTGTATCTGTCAAACCCAACTGTGCTGAAGGGCCATAAGCTTGGCAGAAAAGAGGGCATGCCTAAAGTGAATGAAACAATGTGGAAAAAACAGCTGCTGCAAGAGTGCTGTGTCTAATCAGGATGGTGGGTGGGAGGTACTGCGCAAGTAGCAAAGGGAAATGGCATCTCATTCTGCATGGTGCTATTGAGAGCTACATTGGATACTGAGGAACTGGTCTTTTGAAGTCAGAGAGCTGCTCTGAGCATGGCAGGTCTCTTAGCTCTTTGGATTGCGCGTCCTGTTCTTGAAACAGATCCTGTCAGCTAAGGACTGTCTCTTTCCTGGCTAAAGCAGAAGACTGCTGTTATAGAATAATACTGGGATGAGATCTTTCTGTTCCCTGTCTTTTTTTGAGACAGCTGGAGTGGGAGGTTAACTTCCTACTCTCATCAGAGCGTTCTAGTGGTGCAGAGTATGGAAAGGATTTACTGTCTGCTTGAATGGCAAAGATCTGATGGGGGAGCCAGTAAAATGAAAATTGAGACTTGATGAACTCATGGCATGATGTGGAACCCCTTTCTTATGGGTCATGCAGCAAATTACAAACTTCTTATAGCAGATATTGTGTTCCTAGGCTAAAGGAAGAATGCCATCGCTCAGCTACCACAGTGCAACTTTCTACCGCAAGGAGCTCTTTGTTTTTGGAGGAGCTTTCCCTAAAACAGCATCACTGGCAGTTGGACCCTGCAGCAACATGCTCTATATCTTCAATCCAGAACATGAAATTTGGTACCAGCCCATCTCAGAAGGGGAAAAGCCTCTGCCTAGGCTTGGGTGAGAGGCTCTTGCTCTGGAGCTCCAAAATAGAGCAGGAAACCTCACCTTCCCTCCCACCTCAGTGAGATTCCTAAATATTAGATGACTTTCTCCACAATTTCCTCCATTAAGATAAGGCTGTGTTTTGAGTAATATTCTGTCAGGGCTCTGTCCTTGGGCTGCAGTGGCTGAGGATAGAGAGGGGTGCAGACAGAAGCTATTGCAACCCATTAACAGAAGCCAAGGCAGGCTGAACAAAGGCTAACACACTGGGGAGAGTGCTGAAGATGCTTTGCTCATTTGCTGTTTCTCTTCTCAGGCATTCAGCTACTCTACTGAAGAACAAGCTGCTGATCTTTGGGGGTCAGAGGTCTTGTCTCTACCTCAGTGACATGCACATCTTGGATCTGGGTGAGAAAGTCCGTACCATCTTTGGAGGTCTGTTTTAAGGCAAGGACTGTGAAATAAGGCCTGCAGAATGGAAGGGCAGAATTAACACTAAAAATCCTGACTAGCAATGGAAATGGAAAACTCTGGTTTAGTGGGGGTGTAAGGGGGTGGGTAATGGGAAAAACAAGACATCCTTTTTCTGGAAGAAGCTGGGCAACAGAAAGTACAGGTAGCCGATGTGACAGTGTTTCAAAGTTTTTGTCTGATTATAAAGTAGAGAAATACTGTTAGCAGAGCTTTTTGGACATTTAATCAACCTTTCTCCTGCCTGTCAGGTTTCATGGAATATACACCAGTTGCACTCTGTGCAGGACAGCCTTCTGCACGCTGGTAAGATCTTGTTGCAGATCTAGAAGCATTTTCTTCCACTGTTATTCTCTGTGAAGTCAGGTTTAAAAGGTGCTCGTGATCAGACCCAGTTGCATACCTTTGTCTCACTAGCCAAACACTGTGGGTGGCCCCTCTGCTGTGGGACCAGAAATTCCCATGCCTGGGTCTTCATAAGTTGTGGGGAGTACAAACCACTTGGGTACCTAAGTGGAAATCTGAAATGGATGCTATCTCCCATTAGAGAGGTGACTTAAGTCCTTGCTATCTTATTCCATATCGCAAAACACAGAAGTTTTGCTAACTCCTGAGGTAATGAGGTGCTTTTCAGGCTTGATTTATGACATGATCTGCAGAGAGAAACTAACAGTTCTTCCAGGATCATTCAGCAGGTCAGGGCAGAAGAGAAGTTAACTTCTATTCCCCAGCTTAAGCCCCTAGTCTGCTCCTGAAAGTCTGCTCACCTCTGCCCATTGCTGGCTGACGCAACCCCACCTTTGCTCTGGTCTCAGTTTTCATGCAGCTCTGGCTGTGTCAGACTGGAAAGTTCTGATCAGTGGAGGCTGCAATGCCAAGGGAGCCCTGCAGGATGCCTTTGTTTTTAACCTAGGTGAGTGAATCTCCCTCCCTATTTCCATAGCTTTTGGTGACAGTGAACTGCAGTGGTGTTTCTGAATGTGTAGTCTTGTGTGTTTGTTTCACTCCTTGCATTAGGAATGTAGGTGGGTTTGTTTGTTTGTTTGTTTGTTTTTCCCTCCATTATTTATAACCCATTTCTACTTTAGATACTCTTTCATGGAGCACAGTGATCCACCATGACCTCTGCTCTGTGCCACGAGCTGGCCACACGTTGCTTGATCTGACTCCCATGATGGATGTGGACAAAGAGAACAAGAATAAGCATAAACTGCACACGGTGCTGGTCTTCGGGGGCTCCAACTGTGCAGGGGCCTTTTACAACAGCACAAAGAAGATCCAACTGGACCTAGGATAATGCAGGATAACCAGAATGAGTCTGTCCCCTCTTTGCCAGCTTAAAGAGGGTTAATAATGAGTCCCAGTAATAAATGAGTCCCAGCAATGTGGCAAGTGAATGCTGCCTTAGCACAAGATATCACTGTCTTGCAGTGTCTTTCTGTATGCTATGGGTATTGCCCTTTTAGGGCAGTTGATACACAGCATCAGAATGGGAGAAATCCCATATCGTATCCCTGGCTTGGGTGCCAGAACTTTCAGTGGGATCTGAGATAAATCTGCACAAGAACACAGTTACAGGCTTCTTGTTTCCTTTCTTGACCTACAGATTTCCCTTTTTGACCTACAGAGCTGGAATTTCTGGGATGCTCTGAACATGACTCAGGTGTTTGGTTTCCTTTCAGATGAGCAGAATGGGATTTGCTGCTGCAGCTTGAAAGTTCCTCAAAGTCAAAGTACCAACATGATTCAGACATAGAAGGAGGGCATGTAATGTGAGATTTATTCCTTTAGCAAATAGTTTGCAGCTGAGGACTAGGAAAATGCACAGGGCATTGTCTGTGAATGGGAGAAGGAAGAGATTGCCGTAATTTTCAGCATATGGGAGTGAGCTGGTTATATATTTCTGATTATAGCTTTGCTCTGAACAGGTTTTTATTAATTCTGCAAGATTGCTGCTGGACATAGGGAAGAAGTCAAATCAGCTGTCCCACATAGTGAGATGTTAGTACAGGGCTTCCTGCTGGCACTCAAGTCCTTGCCACTCCAGCTACTTGATTTAATGGGTAGAAGGGCCTCAAGATCGCAGCTCTGCAGGAGTGTCTGGCTGCCGGGATGGGTGGCTTACTTTGAATGCCTCTAACTCCAGGAGAGCTTTGTTTATTCTAGTTATTGTAGGATATGGACCCAGGTTCACACCGTATCTACAAAAAGAAAAGGATTTGTGAGGTACAGTCAGACAGCCAGTGAGCAGAAGGACAGAGCAGTGTTCTGTGCCTGCCCAGTGTCAGCATGTCTCAAATCTGCACTAAGAGAAGTTCTTTCAGGTTTAAAAATAAGTGCTAATGGAAAAGCTACCTTGTTCTTCCATTTTCACTAGGTGTTTATATAGCTTTTAGCTTATGGTAAGAAGGCAGTACAGCTTTCTTGGGAATCTTGCAGTTACTACTTGAGCAGGTTTACAAATACAGTCAGATTACTCTTATCTCTGCCTTGTGCAATGTAGATATGGGGCAAAGAGGGAGAGAGGATGTAGGGTGCAGGCAATCTTAGCTTTTCTATTAGGACACAGATCAAGCTTTCTCTAGGGGCCTCTGGGAAGAAAAACTAGCTGTTCATTTCCAAAAGCCTCTAAGAGACAAAGAACTTATGACAAACTCATGCAGAGAAGCATGTATAAATGGATAGAGCAGGATGTGGATCTTCCCTAACAAAAGGAGAAGCAGAAGTTTTGTCAGTTTGGCATAAGGAGTAGGTGCTCTTGAAGAACACCTCAAGCTTAGCCTTAATTACCTTTCAGCATTGCCAACTTGAGGCACCAAGCACAGATCAGCCATGGATACCTGCAAATGGAGCACAGAAAAGAGGCCAGAGTATTACTCTTTCAGCTGGTGGTATCTGATATCATTTCACAGATAGGTTTAGGACAAACAAAAGAGTTGTCACAACAATCCCATTATTTAAGTGAGCACTAATAATGCCACAACAGTGATAGGAAAGGATCCTTACAGAAGTCAATAGCACAAAAGCTATCAGCCCCTAGGGAGCTTTCTAATTATCAGCTGATCATGGTGTCCTCAAACATGCAGTGCTTCTAAAGCAACTGCCAGTAAGTAAACAAGTGCTGGCAAGTTGCAGAGGGAGAAGCTGGGGGGATGGGTATAGGTGTTGCGTGGCTGGGAAAGGATGTATAAATTTTGCTTGTTTGCATTGCAGAAGCATCAGAGCTCCACCAAGGTCAGGAACTGCTGAATGACAGGACCTTTGTATGCAGGCTCAAGGACTTCCAATCTGAAAAGAACACTCCTTATATATAATACAGGTAGCTGCTTAACTGCACAAAAGGCAACTGTTTCCACCCTGTTACCCAGGTCACGAAACTGTAGGCACCTTTCAGAGCACACATTACTTTCCAGCATGAGACCTCATTACTAATATTTTCCCACCTTTTATAGGCAGGATCTCACTGTTTGCCAAACAGGACTGCTAAATGGAACAGGTCTGAGTTGCCTCTAGCTTGGAAAGGGTCAGAACAACCTGTATGCAATGTCTTCCTGCAGTCTGCCCATATTAAAATTGGAGAAACAGAGCAGCAAAATGATATAACTTGGTTAAAGTTTACACAGGACAGAGTTAAGAGCAGAATTTGCATTTCTTGAGCCATGCTTTGCCCCTCAGATGGGACACTAAATCTACTAAGAGTGAAAAGAATCATCACAGAATGGCCTGGGTTGAAAAAGGACCTCAAAGATCATCTAGTTTCATCCATCACACAGTGGACAGGGTCACCAATCTCTAGGCCAGGCTGCCAGAGCCACATCCAGCCTGACCTTGAAGGCCTCCAGGAATGGGGCATCCACAATCTCTCTGGGCAACCTGTTTCAGAGCATCACCACTCTGAGTGAAAAACTTCCTCCTAATACCTAGCCTAAATCTCCCCTGTCTCAGTTTAAGACAGTTCCCCCTTGTCCTATCACTATCCACTCTCGTAAACAGCCGTTCCCCCTCCTGTTTATACGCTCCCTTCAAATACTGGAAGGCCTCAATATCCCCAGGACACCAAGAAAAGAGTGGCTCAGCAACCACATCAGCCATCTCAGCGCCCTGGGATGCATATCATCTGGCCCCATGGACTTATATACATTCAGTTTCATGAGAAAGTCTCAGACTTGTTGCATTGTTACAGTGATATGGAATCCACCCCCCTCACCCACACTTGGAGATTCAGGGTCCTGGCAAACATGGGGAGCCTGACAACCAGTGAAAACTGAGGCAAAGCACTTATTGAGTACCTCAGCTTTTTCCATGTCTCAGGAAGCCAGTTCTCTGTTCTCATTTATTAGAGGGGAAACACTCTCCTTGATCTGTCTCCTCCTGCCTATAGAACCCCTTCTTGTTATTTTTCACATCCCTCGCCAAGTTCAGCTCCATCCATGCCTTGGCTTTCCTCATCCTATCTCTACATGTGTGGACAAGAAAAGTACTTAGCCTTTTCCCACATTGTTTAGTGGCAGCCAGTTCACAGACTTTAGACAGGAGTGCAAGATCTGGCTATCAGCAGTTTCTAGGCAGGGATAAGTAAACATCTGAATAGCTATTTGTAAGTCAGTAATGGCTTAAGTAGGGTACAGCTATTTTTCTTATAGTATAGACACTGCATGAAGTACAAGGCACAGGATATAGTTGTGCTGTGTCTCTACAACTAATTCCCTTTCCCAGTTAATGGAACATACTGGGACACATTACACAGTACGTAACTCTGGTACTTACCTCATCTCCCACACAGTAGCGTCCAGCAGTGTGCTGCAGAATCTGTTCTAGTGCTGCCAAGAGAGGTGGTATACTGGAGTAAGGCATTGGAAGATCATTTGAAAGGAACCTCAGAGACTTTTTAAACTGCGAATTATGAACAAGGACATTTTAACTCTGAGAAGAGGATGAAAAAGGTGCAGTACAGAACAGAATCTAGAAAGAACATAAATCCTACAGTAACATAGTTACATGTCTTTGGTTTTCCCTATGCTTTCTAGGACCCAGCTGTTTCAGGCAATGCAGATGAGGTCCTAGGAGCACAATGTGGATATATGTGAGAGTAGGAAGAGAAAAAGTAGAAAAGTTCACTATCCAGAAGTGAAGATGCACCCGCCATTCTAGAATATGGAGGAAAGTTTGGAAGAAACAAAAACTAAAAAATACTCTGCTACATGCCAAATTCTGTGGGAGTTTGCCATCAGATTTCTTTAGACAAAAGAATACCAATATAGGTTGATAGAATTTCAAAGCAAAAGGCACTACTTCAGGAGCAGCTGAGTGGAAAGCAGAAGTGGTGTCAGCCCTCATACTTCAGGGTGAATCAACTGTGGCATCATAGAGGATGGCCCTGGGATTTTCCTCTTCCATGCACAGCAGTGGAACTACACTGTGGAGAGTATTTTTCCTCCAAGACCTTAGAGAGCTAGTAGTACTGGACAAGGGACTCTGAGCAAGAAGACCACTGTGTCTCCCAGCCTGGCTGAGGAGAAACTAGGGCTCCAGTGGTGCAGCATGCTGGCTCACAGTTTTGAAGAGCAGTGAAAGTGCTGAGCATTTTGGATGCAGGATATACCTTGGAATCCAGATGTGATGCAATGCTGAGCCCATTCCATTTTTCTCTCCCCCATTTTGTTCAGGATGCTCAAATTCTGTGAAGGCAAACAGATTAAAAGGACAGCTGTTGGCTGGAACCTTGCCTAGAGAGGGCAGATTAAGAAGTGCCAAGCTTGAGTGCCCTGCCTGAACTTGGTCTGCTGTGTCAGCCCTGACCTCCCTCTTGCTGAACCATGTGCTCTGCTTTCTCCTAGACCTGTTCTTCTGTAACAGAACCTGCCAGGATATTCATCTGCCCAAGTTCTTGGGCTCACTCCCTCTTCCTGAAACACTGTATGCCCTGCACTGAAACCATATGGGTTCAGTTGTTTCTGGAAAGAATGATGGGGTGCTATGGGATTTTCTTTGTACGGAATTCTGTTGCCATTGGCAACAAATCAAGCAGAGGCTAAGCATAGATTTCACCTGCTAACAGAGTCTTAAAATCTGCCACTCTATTGGCCAACAACAACACAAAGAGACTGAGATTTAAAGTTACAAACTCCTGGAAATCCATCCGGTTTTCTCATTTACATGGATATGACCGGGCAATACCTGGAGTGGCTGAATGCCAGAAGCAATGTGATCCGAGATCATTCTGACTTGGGCTCTTTTCTTTGGATCTTGGGGCAAGAGCCTGGGGTTAGGACAAGTGTCTTCCAGGTACTGAATTATAGCCAGCTGTAACAAGCAAAGAGATAAGGGAAGGTTATTGGAGAGAGAGGGAAAAGTAGAAAAGTATGCATCCAGAACACTTAGGAAAGGGAAATTTCAAATTG